TCTTTCAGGGAAATCTTCTGTCTCAGCCTATTTCTTCAACCTGTCTTCACTCAGAGCAAGAGAAACTGCCTTCCCCAACACCCTCTGTAACTGTTGACTTCCTTCATGGCTTCCTGCAGGCCCCCAGACCCCCTTTAGAGGTCAGTAGAGGACAGGCTTCCCATCTGCAGGATGTACTCCAAGCCTGAGGAGACATTTCTGGGCAGAGATGCAACAAGGCATTCCCTGATGGCTGCAGTTGTTTGGGCAGATGGCATCATCTTCCTCAGGTCCAAGGGACACTGCACAAAGCTACTCAGTGCAGTGTGCCCCAACCCCTCCTTCCTCTCAGAATAGTGAAGCGTGCCCATGTGCCCTTATGTCATGTGATTTGACCAGAACAATGCTTCTGTACTTGTGTAGCTTGTAAGAACTTCCTGAAAGGGAAGCACCACACAGAAGCTCAGGTTGCATTGCAGCAGAATTTAATGATATGAAAGAGGGAAATGAGGTAAACAAGTGGACGCTCTGATGCAAGGAGCACCAGATCATCCAAAAACCTTTGCCCTGAAGCCAGGGTGGAGTTCCAAAAAAATGTTCCACGGCCTACACCACAAATGGAAGGGGGCAGCAGATACCTCCAGGGTTGGTTTTCGAAAAATGCATGGCCCTGGGGAGCAGGAGACAACTGAGGAAAATAGAGAGAAAAAAGAGAGAGAAGCAGAGAAGTTATACATGGGCCATGTTTTCAGAGAGCCCAGGTGTGCCTCCTCCTGCCTTCCTTTGCAGGTGTAAACATGGATGCTCTGAAAGTGTTGACCGATCACTCATGGTTCTCTGATCAGCATAATCTTCTAGCTTCTTGGGGGTCCTTACGTGTGAAATCACCAGTGGCTTTAGCAGGGGAGGCATGTTCTGCCACAGTAGCAGCTGGTAGTGCAGGAGAGATCAAAGCCTCCGGAGGAGATGGGCACTCCCTGAGAGCTGAGGATGATGCCAACAGCAGCAGAGGTGGAGGATCCCACAACGGTGTTCTGCGGGAAGGAGCTGAGGATGGGTCCGGGCAGGGTCACCACCACAGGGGAGGGCTCGATGACGACGGTGGAGCTCTGGCACTGCCTGAAACAGGGCTCATTGCAGCTGTTGGCCAGCAGGATTGGGCCACAGGGCTGGCATGGCTGGCAGGGCACGCACTGGTTGTAGCAGGACATGTCTCGTAGGGCTGGAGGTGAACCTGGGAAAGAGGGCAGTAAGGGGCACGGTGGTGCGTGACCTGTAACCTGTCCACCCAACACAAGGGAGCCAACGCATGTGCTGAGTGGCGAGCCGGAGGTTGTGCAGAGAGGCCCACGCACCTCCTTGTCTCTCCCCTTAGGCACCGTGCAAAGAGAACCAGACCCAGGAAAGCTTTTTCCTAGCCAAGAGCCTAAGAGTCCCCTCAGCCCACCCCAAGCCTTTTTCCAGGCTAGGTGTTTTCCCTGCCTCCCCTCGCAAGATGGACAGCACCAAGCCCCAGCATAGGACAGAGCAGATATTATCCAACATGTCTGTTGAGACATGGCTTCATCCTGTAGGAGTATGAGAAGGAGAAGGGACTTTGGACTTACCTGGTTCCCAAGAAGAAGCAGCATAAAAATGAAGTGGATGAGAGACCAAAGATTTGCATTGGCTTTAATACTGGTCTTGCATTGTCCCAGGTCCAGAGGTAGCCCTGGTAGGGTTAATAATTTTGTGAGAAGCTCTTCTGAAATGTAAGTTATCCCAGGCTGTGTTTCAGTTTCCTGGTGTCTTTTAATTTCTTTGTTTATACCATGCTCATTCCCTCATGGATACTTGTTTTGAGAGTTAAAATGGAGGTTCCTAAAATTTCTGGGGCAGGCGCATGTCATTGCAGGCAGAACACTCAAACCAGTTGCTAGAGGGGTCCTGTATTGGCTAGGGACACTGGCTTGGTGCACTTCCGGGGGGTTTTCAGCCTCATTTGCAGGAAAGACCAAGCTTCTCTAAGCCCTGTAATCCTTGACCAGACACTCAGGGGCTTCCCATATGTGAAGATGTTTCATATCATCTTCCCTCTCTGATTGTTACTGGTCTTTCTCTTCCCAGGTAGATAGACTGCAGTCCCAAGTTTCAACATTTCTCTTTCTAACACCATCCTTGGGAGAGATTTCCCAGGCTGCTTGGCTTCCCTCGCTTTCTAGGCCATGTCTGAGGATTCCCAGACAATCCATGTTTTGGGCCTTGAGGTACACTGTGATGCTCCAGCCCTGCCAGGGTTGTGTCTAGTTGAATCCACAGATGGTAATGTGTAAGCATTTTTGCTTGACGGGTGCACTTATGTGTATGATAGATGTCTTTGAACACATGGTGTGTACAGATTTGCATGCAGGTGAGCATGATCATGTCTGTACATAGCTGGCTTTCATTGCAACAAGATGTGGTGGTCATGGCAGGGGCCCTTTCCACTTCTCTGTCTATAAGCACCGCAGAACCGTGGGTTCCCCATGCCAGAAAGGGCCTAACTTTAGCAGAGCAGTGACAGCTCCCAGGTGGAGAGGTGCCCTGGCAGCAGGCACTGAGGTACAGTTGCTCTCTCCTGTGCCCTTTAATTCCTGATCCTCAAAAGATCATGCTCTGCTACTGCAGATTTCAGAGACCAAAAATGACTGTTTCACTCCAGTTTGGAAATTCTGTATATTGCAGCATACCGATGGTTGGAGTTCCCCAGCACTGTCTGTCCCTGCAGGACAGGTTACCTCTCCCCTCCGCAGTGTTAAGGAGCTCAAAAGAACATTAGCTTTGTGACAAAGGAGAAATGCTGAGAAACCCTGTCTGCCTTGGGCAGGGAAACTTTGAGTGGATCTGCTTCCAGTGCAGTGTCAGTGGTGCCTGTCTCTGTGGAGACAAGAGCTTAAGCTACACAGAGCAAGGAAGGCAGGAAAGATGGAGGCCATGGCCAACCTGGCAGCAGAGGCAGGCAGTCAAGGTGGGGAAGGCTGGAAGTTGGTGACTTCTGGTAACAGAAAAAACATTCCTGTTCCACCTGCAGACTTTAACTTCAGAACAGGAGCTGTCACCTGTGAACTGTTGAGGACAAAAAGACGCATTAGGGAATGGATCAGAAGGAGCAGTGCTCAAATAATTTTTCCTCCATGAAGGAGAAAAGACCTGTGTGTCCTGGGTTTGGCCAGGACGGGGTTAATTTTCGCCGGACTCCAGGAAGGGGCACAGCCGGGGGGTGGGGGCTGACCCCACCTGGCCAAACAGAGCCCGGTATTCCATACCATGTGACGTCACGCTGGGATCCGGTGACGGGGGGGCCACCAGTTTCTGCCTGTTTCTTTTTCATTCTCCTCCGCACGCCGGTGGGGGGAGGGGCGGCCGCGTGGCTCTTTTGTTGCCGGCAGCAGCCGAAACCAAGACACTGTGACACCTTTAGGAGACTCTCTCTTAGGAATCTTAAGCACCAGTCTGCTAACCTGATTTGATGTCTCGGGAGGTTTCTTGTTTGCCAGAAGACAGGCATGGCATGTTGCGGAGGGACTGCTGAGCTTGTCCTACCTTTGCAGTGTTACCCTTTACTGCTCTTTGATGTGGGCACCAATGATAATGCCCAAAGTTTTTCTAGACTGGGTACAGAGCTCTGGGGTGAAGAAAGGGTGTGAGGGTCCAAATTACTAAGGTTCGAGTAGAGAAGAACTCATCCAGTGGATCAACACCTGGCTGCATGCTTTGTGTTGCAGGCAGAACTTAGGTTTTGATTGCCAGAGAACTTTCTTAGATAAACGAGGGCTATGGATTAAGAATGGGAAATATTTGACAAAGTCATGCAACGGAGTCTTTGCAGTCAGGCATGTTGACAAAGAGAGAACTCTAAAGTAGGTATGGCAGGAGAGGTGTTTTCTAAAGGAAAGAGAAATGAGAGCGTAAGGGGTAGAACAGATAGCTAAAAAGCTGTGCCCATGCCCTAATTCTGGTACTGCACTAGTCTTAGTTTTAAAACATACTGTTTTCAAATGAAAATGGGACAACCAGCCTGTCCTCTCCCCACACTGTAGCAGTAAAGCACATCATAATGAACTGTTGTCCAAGAAGTTAATTCAGTTGAGAGATGCCCCCACTTTCAACAACTCACAGCTTTGTTCTGCCAGTTCAGTTTTACCTCTGAGTGGTAGTGAAGGTGACAGAGGGGTTTATGTGACTGTTTGTACTACTCAGCTGTGGGGGACACAATGTGGCTTATTCTGTGTGATAGTAGATGTTCTGTAGTCTCTACAGACAAGTACCATCAGTAAATTGAATACTGAGAAGTCATGCTTAAGCCTGTGCTAGTCCTGGTTATATGCCCTTTCATAGCCTCAGAATATGGCTAATGGCTTCCTGCCAAGACATGTGTCGGTGCATAGAAATGCTCCTTATGCAGACACAACATCCATGAAACTTTTCCATCTAAAACATGGGTAGTATTCATTATTTACTCCCTTGAGCTCACATCTTAGGCCTGCATTCCCAGACAAGCTACCTGAAAACTTTTTCAGGTACAACAGATCAGCCTGTGTGTCTGCACTTACTAGAGTGGGTTTTTTCATATTAAGATGTGAGATACAGCCACCACTTCTTTCATGTTCAGTGGACCTGGTTAATCTGAGGAGCCATTCTTGGTGGGCTAGCGCAACTTGGTCTACAAAACCAGGAGATACCTCTTGTCGCAGAGGTGTGAGCTCCTGCCTGCCCATGCAGAGGCTGAAAAACATTCACAGGAGCTCTTGCAGAATGCAAGGGACAATCCCAGGAAGGGATGTAACAGTTGCAGAGATGCCAGGAGACCTACATGGATGAACAAGGAGCTCCTGGCCAAACTCAAGCAGAAAAAGGAGGCCTACAGAGGATGAAAGCAAGGACAGGTATCTTGGGAGGAACACAGAGAAATTGTCCGAGTAGCCAGGGAGCAAGTTAGCAAAGCTAAAGCCCTGACAGAATTAAGTCTGGCCAGGGATGTCAAAGGGAACAAGAAAGCCTTCTATAGGTATGTCAGTGAGAGAAGGAAGACTAGGGAAAATGTGGTCCCTCTCAGGAAGGAAGCTGGAGACCTGGTTACCCAGGATGTGGATAAAGATGAGGTGCTTAATGACTTTTTTGCCTCAGTCTTCAACAGCAAGTGCTCTAGCCACACCACCCAAGTTGCAAAAGGCAAAGGTGGGGACTGGGATAATGAAGAACCGCTCACTGTAGGAGAAGAGCAGGTTCAAGACTGCCTAAGGAACCTGAAGATGCATAAGTCCATGGGGCCTGATGAGATGCATCCGCGGTCCAGAGGTCAGTTGATGGGTGAAGTTGCCAAACCACTCTCCATCATATTTGAGAGGTCATGGCAGTCTGGGGATGTCCCCACTGACTGGACAAAGGGCAACATCAACCCCATTTTTAAAAAGGGAAAAAAGGAAGACCTCGGGAACTACAGGCTAGTTAGCCTCACCTCTGTGCCTGGCAAGATGATGAAGCAGATCCTCCTCAAAAGCATGCTAAAGCACATGGATAGCAAGGAGGTGACTGGGGACAGCAAACATGGCTTCACCTAAGGCAAATCGTGCCTGACTAACTTGGTATCTTCTATAACGGGGTTACAGCATTGGTGGACAAAGGGAGGGCAACTGACATCGTCTACCTGGACTTGGGCAAGGCATTCGACACTGTCCTGCATGATGTTCTTGTCTCCGAATTGGAAGGACATAGATTTGACAGATGGACCACTCATTGGATAAGGAACTTGCTCGATGGACGCACTCAAACAGTTACAGTCAATGGCTCGATGTCCAGGTGGAGACCAGTGACGAGTGGTGTGCCTCAAGGGCCGGTACTGGTGCCAGTGCTGTTTAATATCTTTGTCGGCGACATGGACAGTGGGACTGAGTGCACCCTCAACAAATTTGCTGACGACACCCTGCTGTGTGGTGTGGTTGACAAGGTGGAGGGAAGGGATGCCATTCAGAGGGACCTTGACAGGCTGGAGAGGTGGGCCTGCATGAACCGCATGAAGTTCAACAAGGCCAAGTGTAAGGTCCTGCATGTGGGTTGGGGCAATCTCAAACACAAGTGCAGGCTGGGCGGAGAGTGGCTTGAGAGCATCCCTGAGGAGAAGGACTTGGGGGTACTGGTGGATGAGAAGCTCAACATGAGCCAGAAATGTGCGCTTACAGCCCAGAAAGTCAACCGTATCCTGGGCTGCATCAAGAGATGCATGACC